TGTACTGGATCAGATTTGCTGGGGTGATGAGAGCTCTAGGACAAAACATTAGAAACTGGTTGGGGAAGTCTGCTGTACAGTAGGGCTGAAGAACATTTTGGACAACAACTTTTACAATCTCCTATTATGGTGAGTGGGATTGAAAGTTTCAGATGGAGAGCCAAATGTTTCCTGGGTCCTACTGTATGGAGACTGTATTTCTTTCTCCCCAAAATCTTCATTACTGCCTCCTAATAACTGGTGAGAGGCAAAAAGGAAATTATTTTTTGTGATTCCCTCCCCCCTCTAAATTAATTCTCATTTCTCAAGCCTGGCATTTTGCAGCAGACTCCAGAAGTTGGTTAAAATTAACACCATTCTAACTTACTGTTTTGGATGAGCTACAAAGAACAGAATAAGAATGCATGTTCTCACCAAGAAAGCTGTGGAAACAAATCATTCTTCAAACATCATAATTCTTATAACATGTTTCAGCGTATAAAGGCTCCAGGGCAAGATTTTGTAGACATGCAAAGATTCCACAATATTAGGAGGGGCAGCAGAACATGGTATGGGACCCAGAACTCAGCTTCCAAAGGCTTTTTTTAAGAAAGCAAACTTCCCATTCCTTTCTCTGCAAATAAAAATATAGATAGTCACCTTATGCTGACTCAGAATACCGGTTTTTCCAGCTCAGTGTTGTCTAGATTGGACTCACAGCAACTGTCTGGGGTTTCAGGCAGTGATCTTTTCCTAACACTACGTGGGGCCCTTTCACATTTCAGGATTACGGCACTTTGATTCTACTTTAACTGCCATGGCAGCACCCCATGCAATTCCAGCATTTGCGGTTTGGTGAGGCACTAGAAGGGCTCTTGGGCAAAGGAGCCTAAATGCCTTCCCTAAATTAGCAATTCCAGACTTCCATAAGATGGACCCAAGGTAATTTAAGTGGAATCATAATGCTATAATTGTGTAATGTGAGAGGGCCTCTGGGGATTTCAGGAACTGAACACACAACTTTATGCACGAAAGTAGATGCTCTACCAGTTATAATGTCCCTTCCTCAAAGGTCTGGGTGTTACTCATTACAATGAACTGCTACATGACCTATGTCTCTGGTCAGTCTGACTAAAATGATGTATGAACACACACATTCACTGTTGGTCTTCACCACACTTTCATTACTTCAATGGCTCATGTTCAACTTTTTGTCCATGGAGACTCCAATACCTTTTTCACATGTATTGTTGTCGAGTGAAGCTTCACCTATCTTGTGTCTTTGTATTTCATATCAAACACACAAACATTGCAATTGGATTTGGAGCTGCATCAAAAGGAGTGTAGTGTCCAGATCAGTGGTTCTCAACCTGTGGGTGGCCAGGTGTTTTGGCCTACTGGAAGTTCAATGCCAAAACATCTGGGGACCCACAGGTTGAGAACCACTAGTCTAGATCGAGGGAAATCATGGTGCATCTCTATTCTGCTTTGGTTAGATCTCACCTGGAATACTGTGTCCAATTCTGGGCACCACAGTTTAAAAGAGATTTGACAAACTGGAAGGTGTCCAGAGAAGGGCAACAAAAATGATCAAAGGTCTGGAGACCATGCCCTATGAATAATGTCTTAAAGAACTGGGTATGTTTAGCCTGCAGAACAGGGTTGAGAGGAGACATGATAGCCATGTACAAATATCATAAGGAAGAGGGAGCAGGTTTGTTTTCTGCTGCCCTTGAAACTAGGACTTGGAGCAATGGCTTCAAATTACAGGAAAGGAGATTCCACCTGAACATTAGGAAGAACTTCCTAACCTTAAGAGCTGTTCAATAGTGGAACTCTTTGCCCCGGAGTATGGTGGAAGCTCCTACCTTGGAAACTTTTAAACAGAGACTAGATGGCTATCTGTCAGGGATACTTTGATTGTGCCTTTCCTGAATGGCAGGGGGTTGGACTAGATGGCCCATGTGGTGTCTTCCAACTCTATTATTCTATGATTCTATGACCATGCTGCGACTCACCTCAAGCCATGAGGAGAGATGGGGAAGAAATAAAATTATTATTATTATTACTATTGTTATTATTAAGGGGTATATGAACAGGCTAATGAATGTGGAAGGCTGACTGTAATTATGACTGTTAATTTGGCTGGGTTTAATAAAAAATTGATCAATTTGTTGTTGAACACATTAACCCCCCACAATGATTTATAGTTTTCCAAGGCCATCATAATAAAAACATAATTTAATTTATTTGTTAGTATTCTCTGGACTTCTGCAATTGTGGAGAAGAACTATACTGGCAACATACAAACAGCAGCTTCCTTCTAAAGCAGTGGTTCTCAACCTGTGGGTTGCCAAGTGTTTTGATCTACAACTCCCAGAATTCCCAGCCAGTTTACCAGCTGTTAGGATTTCTGGGAGTTGAAGGCCAAAACATCTGGGGACTCACAGGTTGAGAACCACTGTATTAGATTTCAACCATGCACAACCTCTGACAAACATCAGAAATTGTAGATGCTGCAGCCTAACAACACCTGGAGGGTCACAGTTATCCATTCTGCTGTTGATCACTGCTTCTTAAAATATGGGTTGTGACCCCAAAGGGCCCCCCTTTGCTCTGTCTTGGAGTCAGTAGAAAACTGTCAGCAGGAAAAGATTTCTGAGCTAGTGGCTGTTTTAAATATAACACAAATCTGTTAGAAACAAAATGCAGTGTATATAGTGGACTCTGCAGCCTGTTAAATAAGCTTTGCAAATGCTGCTTTACAATCAGTAAATTTTTGATTTTATACCTATTTTATAGATCTATATACCCAAGATCATGTTAAAATGTCTCGGGTTGAAAGAGATCAGAACTGGGAAAATTTTTAAGAAGTATTGTTCTAGAAAACCACTATGTTGTTTGATTTCTATGTGTTTCACAGTTGTTTTAGTGCAAACTGGACACCTAGATTCTGACAAACGTACAATATGTGCAGGACATGTATGAAGGTGGAGAATAGTAGGAGGAGAGCAAGAAAAGGGAGCCTAACCAGCGGTTATGGAAGCAAAAATAGTCCACATAGCACAGAAGCATCACTTCTGAAACAACAGCACAACAATCCTAGGATCTATTTCCATTATCAGAGCCAGGTCCTGAAACAAAGGATAGTGGAGAGAAATGCTTTGAGAATGTGCAGAATGCTTATCATTCTGAAGCCACCATTCTCTGCAGCTGAACTTTCACAATTTACACAATAATTGCTTCCACAGTAGATACCCTTGTTGCCAGCGAGGTCTGGCCTACAATATTTCTTTTTGGAAACCAAGCATTCTGCAGGCACTGTCTACAAATTTCAAATGTTATATTCAGAAAACTCAGACACAAGCCTTTTCATTATAATAGGGATTCACAACTACATTTGTATTTCTCAAACTAGAAGGAGTAAGGATAATAATAATAGTAGTAGTAGTAGTAGTAATAATAATAATAATAATAATAATAATAATAATAATAATAATAATAGAAGAAGAAGAAGAAGAAGAAGAAGAAGAAGCTGCAGCAGCAGAAGAAAAACTGGCGAAAGAAGGCTTTCCATGGACAGTTCCTGGGAAAAATTGCGAGCCAAATTGACAAAAAAACATGGTTGTGGCTCACAAATTGAACTTTGAAAAAGGAGACGGAGGGCCTGATTCTGGCAACTCATGAACAAGCCATTAGAACAAATGCCATCAAAGCCAAAATTGAAAAGTTGACGACAGATCCTAAGTGTAGAGTCTGCAAGGAAGCAGATGAAACAATAGATCACATCCTCAGCTGCTGCAAGAAGATTGCACAGACAGACTACAAGCAGCGGCATAACACGCTGCTTGTAGTCAGATGATTCATTGGAAATTATGCCACAAATACCACCTGCCTGTGACAAAGAACTGGTAGGATCACAAGCCTGACAAAAGGCAGTCAAGGTGGTCCCAGTGGTGATTGGCACACTGGGTGCAGTGCCTAAAGACCTTGGCCTGCACTTAAACACAATCGGCACTGACAAAATTACCATCTACAGAAGGCCACCTTATAATGCATGCATTATTCGCCGATACATCACACAGTCCTAGACACTTGGGAAGTGTCCAATGGGTGATCCAATACAACAGCCAGCAGTGATCTTGTCTGCTGTGGACTCATCTTGATGTGTTTCAAATAATAATAATACTTTATTTATAACCTGCCCTATTTCCCCGAGGGGACTCAGGAGAGTTACCAGCGGAAATAACATAGTGGCAAACACTCAATGTCGAAAACAACAAATTAAGAAATCGAACAGTGAGTAAACAAACTCAATATACATTATAAAAATAGCAAACTTAAATAAACATAACATAATGCCACACACACTTTTATAACATAATAAGCTCGTAATACTCTTAAAATTAGACTAAAAACATTAAAACTAAGAATATGAGCAGTGTATATCATGTTTATGTCTTATTGGTCTTGTCTATTAACAATTTTCCCCATAAACCAGGGAGTGACCCTTGCTGGAAAGCAAAACAGGAACTGGTTATAACAGGCGAATGTAATTTTATTGGTATCTATTGTTATTTTGAAATTTACCAGTAGCTGCTGCATTTCCCACCCTTGGCTTATATTCGAATCAATCCGTTTTCCCAGTTTTTTGTGGTAAAATCAGGTGCCTCGGCTTATATTTGGGTCGACTTATACTTGAGTATATACGGAAGTTTATTTCAGCTAACTTCTCTAAATGCAATTTGTAACATAAAACTTGATAGTTGAATTTCATGACAGGAAATTGTTAAGACACCAGAATAAATCCTTATTATACACACTTTTTATGTTGCACATACTATATGTGTGATGCAAAAGTACACATATTGATAGTGCACAATGCAGAGCCTGGGAATGTCAATTTCTTTTGAGACAACATCTCTCTCTTAAATGTTCCAAAAACCGTGCTGCAGGCAAAATAAGGAAGTAACGTATCTGCTTAACCTAGTTTTCACTACCCTCCCCAAATATCTGCTTACCTGCTACAGAAGCCAAAATTACGTTTCAAATTGTGTTAGGAGGTCTCTTATTTCCGGGGTCAGGTGTTCCACTGCCTTGGCAGCTTCCGTAATAGCTTTCCGATACATCCCTTTCTTCTTACGATTAAACCGCACTTTGAAATATTCAGAGAAAGGGAAGAGTTTTGACAGAGACAAGAAAGACGTCGTAGGAGAACCAAACCATGACACTTTCGCTTCCTGCCAGGAAGGGTCTCCATTTTCCTTCTGGCTAAGATTGATATCAAGGACCCGGGCCGGCCACCATGGGAAGCCATGGATTTTGCCCCAAACAACGTCTCCCACTGAAACAGTCCTTCCATCTTCAGTGACACATTTGGAAACACTTTGGGTGTGCAGTCTAACTGTTAAGGGGGGCACAATCTTACGCTCATCTTTTGATGACGATGAGACCGAGGCGTCATCACCAGGTAAAAAGTCACACATTTCCGGCGATGTGACTTCTGAACTAGAAGATTTGGATTCATCTAAGCTGTCATTGCTACATACCGATAAGCTCGAGGAATCAGCTTTTCTTTTATGGTAATTCATAAGGAAAGCCAAGTTATCGTGTCCATCTTTATTCTGAGGAAACCTTTTAAAGTCTTCATCTTCACAGGAGCTTCCTGAAGACATCTCGGCTAAACTTCTATCTGCGGATTCGTCAGTATAAAAAGTAGCAGCCGTAGCAGCATGGGATTCTCCACGAGTGGAAAGGACATTCATCTCATCGATAAGTTCTGCTTTGTAAATTGAAACATCCCCCTCGTTCAGACGATGGGGCTTCAGCCTGATTTTTGGAGGTGGCACATCTGCACTGGAATTCACAGGCCTGGTTAATTTTAGCTTTGGAATGGAAGCAAGGTGACCACTCGACGGCTTGTCTATAAAACATTTGGTTTCCTGATAGCGTTGCAAATCTTTGGCCTCCTCTTGGTCCTCCCCTCCATTCTGCAGTAACCGCTGAGAACAAAACGGCTTCCCTGAGCCATGGATCCGGGAGGGAATTTTCACCACTTCTCCTTTGCCTTGCGGGGTGCTGTAAGATATTTTTATAACGGGAGTCCGATGCAAAAGCTCACCAGGAAACTTATCCTCCTCGCGCTTTTCTCGCTTGCTCCTTTTCTCTCCGAAGTCTGATTCGCCGTGTCTCTTCTGTTCCTTATCCTGGATGCTGAGCTTCCGCCTGGTTTTCACATTTTGCCTGGCTGAGTTATTCTCCTCTGGGTTCAAAGTGTTCTTACATTTTTCACAAAGCACTTGTCGTGGCCTCAGTCTAATGGTGCTCATGATGAGCCTGCCGGGGTCTCTATTACGGGACAATCGCCTTTTAGTCCTTTTTATAGTCCTTGGAGGTGGCTGAGGGACCCACTGATTATAGCTGTGTCTTAGCCACAATGGAGGTGGGAAGGGGGCTCCCTCAAAATAGGGAGGATATGGAAGAACAGTGCCTGGTGGTGGTGGAGGCAAGAGAGGAGGAACTTTCTCCTCCCCATTGACCTTGGGAGGCTTTTCTTCCCAAGACCACCGTTCAGTCTCCAGCTTCGTAGGCTCTCTGTCTTCGGGCTTGCCATTAGTGCAAGGATTGATAGCTGGGTCATCCATTTTTGGTAATGAAGCTGGGGGGACACAAGATAAACCAGATCTAGAGAAACAAAAAGGGGAC